GCGTGATCATTTCAGCGGTGTCAACGCTGGTCGGTTTCAGCGGTTAAGATAAAGTCGGATAGCGCGCGTAAAGTAGCAGATACATATTCGTAATCTCACAGGTCAAGAACGTTTTGAATTAACGTTGGTTCCGTAATCTCACTAACAATGGGTTAAGCCGCGAAAGTAATGACCCAGGAATTTTCATGCCGTCATCCTTATTACGCTCTATTGCACTGGCAGTCGCAATGCCTTACCTTTACTACTTAAAGCGGCAAAGGGAGAGACAACTTCTTTTCTTTTTTTCAATCAGCAATCAAAATTGAATTCTTTACGCTGATGCGATGGCTTAGGATCCAATCATTAGAACCCTTTGTGTAGCATGATGAGGGTACTTCCATTGAAGGAATCTCTTATTTCTCATCTGAGGTCGATTGGCCAGTGTCTTTTCAATCTTCGGTAGTTCTGTTCCTGGTGAAGAGGGTTGGTGTGTGTTTCTAATTTGGTTCCGTGTTTCACGCTTCTTTCTTGTATAGTTGAAACACTATTTCTTGGCATAATAAAATATTTCTCGAAAAATAACGAATAATAAATAATTTTGACCGAATATGTTTACGACCCTCGTTTCACCCCTTCGGTGGAGCCGATTGTCGATAAAAAAAAAGTACGTAACATACATATATTTTTTCGAGTATTACCTATCATATGCCAAAGTTTTATGAATATCGGTGATTCGGGATGTTCCCTTGTTAGGTCGATCTGCTTTCTTTTTGTTACTATGCGTTCCCTTGATTCTAATAACAACCCCAAAACTGTAGTTATCTGTGGTACAAATACTGCAATTAGATCAATTCGCTCGAATGAAATTGTCGATTATTCAGGGAAAAGTGAGGAAAATTTCACCACGAGAAATCATGGAGTGGGAAGATAGTGCGGTTGTTACCTGTTGCATTCCTGGACATATCATACGTTTCCAATGAATCGAGCAACAATTTTTCTTCTATTCGAATATTCGAACGAGTAGCATTGTTCGAAACGAAAATTCTCCCCTACCTTTCTGTTCCTCGACGTTCGAGTAATTTCCGACACTCGAACTCGAGTGAGAAAGGAGGGAAACGACTTGGTTTTACCGGAACTTCTTACTAATTGTGGCCAATTAATTATATCATTATTTCGTTAATTAATCTAAGTCGGTGTTGCCACGACACGGGACCATCCTTTTCCCAAAAGAGACGCATCGTGCATTTACTCCCGGTGGCTGTGGGTATGCTGCAAGAACGATCAATCTTAGGCGGCGTGATTTCATTTCTTGCGGAACAGAAACCGCCGCTACTACGCAGAATGAATTGCATATTGTGTTTCCGTTGCGAACGTTCATGGAAAACGCTCCCCTTTCGTCGCTCCTAAATTACCTATCCGCGAACAATTTTCTATGCATTTGCAATTTTATAAAAAGTACGACGAACGTCTTAACCAGCCTCCTCTGGGATGTTCGCCCCCGGAAACGCGAAGAATGAAACGCGACGTAGCCAAGGGACGCGTCAAAGAATTAGTTTACCTTACGGGAAATTCTGGAAAATCCACGCTAAGCGTACTTCTCACCGCTTGTTCGTCGAATCGGGCAAGAAATTCTGGAACAACCAGATCCTCAATGTTCGCGCAAGTTTTACTCGCTCGAATTACGCGATCCTTCGAGATTAACCTGCATGCTCGGCCAGGAAGTCAGGCGTAAAACTCTCCTTTCGTATTTTCCGGCAATGTGCGAAGCGTGACGTCATTATTCAAGCTTGCGTCGTGAATTTTATACTTGTTTGCTCTCGTCGATTTACCAACATATGTAGATGTGTACAATACATACGTACATAGGATATTTCGCGATAGTACGTTTCGTTGAAAGTTATTTTTTCGTTGCTTTTTCGAATGCAGATTTGTGTTCTGGATTTGATGCGTGTGTATGTATATAATACGACGATAAATCCTGACGAATTGATCGTATATACGTACACGGTATCAAATAGACGCTCGCGTGGATGAAACTTTTAGGAGACTGTACCGACATACCAATCGTTCAATGATATTGAAGTATTTACCATTGTTGCTGGACGCGAAATTTAAATCCAGTATGCGGAATAAATTGGAACGGGCTGCGTAAACTGTGACATGACTGATGCAAAATTTGCACTGCATTAACCATCGTATGATTTCGCGTCGAAAAACTCGTCGCCTCTAGTCCTTCTGATTTACATGCTAGCCGAGAATAATGCACGTAATTGCATGGACAACGTGAAGAAAGACAGGAAAAAACGCGGGTGGGAAAGAGGAGGAACACAGCGGAGCTCTGGCCATCAAGGACGAAATTTCAACGCCGCATTCTTCACTCAGGATTATAACGTTACTTTGCATATTTACGTACTCCGGTGGTACATACATCACCGTGCTATCACTATTAATTATAAGCGTTGCTTACTTCGAAAACATCCGGGGATCGTAAACCGTGGCAACAACGATGTAATTTTACTTTTTTCAAATTGTAAGAACCGTGTTAATTGCGACGCACTCTTTGTTTCCTGGAAATTCCGCGAGGCAAGAAACAGAGAAGGTGATATTTTCAAATACCACGTTGAATCGCGATAGAGAATTTCGCATCCTGGAACTTGTTTTAACCGATGTTATTCCTTTGCTGACATTTAGCATCGGCCGCGACGCCCCGAGTGGCAACATTTTCCCTCGATAGAATTTTTCCTCGAAAAATAGAGACAAGTGAAGCCAGAGAAAGGTGGAATAACGCGTGTCAAGGGTGGAAGAAATAAAAGTTTTAAACCCATGCCTGTGTTTGAAAATTTTTTTATACAATTGCACTCGAGAAATTCGTGAATCCAGTTAAAGGGTTAATTGAAACAGAGATGAAAAAATGTAGAAAAGAATATCATTGAACTGGTATACTCGGCAAATTTTATTTACACTCGCGTTCATAAGCATTAGGAGTCTTATTGAATGTGAAACAAACCTAAATAGTTACTAAACAATAATTAAGATCTTGAAAAGAAAAATTCAATTTGATGGTTAAATATCTTCTAAATACCTATTTTTATTTAAGGCGCCGTAGTAAAAATAAGGTCCTAACAGTGCCGTCGATTGTGTCACAGCAAACATTGACAAGAAATTGAGTTTATACAATATAAAAAGAATTACAGTTGACAATTTAAAAAACTCTTGGTATCGTCATTACGCTAGAAAGTATTAGAAATTTCAAAAATCTGTTCAAGTCATCGTATTGTGTATAAAAAATAGTGGAATTTTGTCCTCTTCTATTTTCCTTACAAATCTACCACTTACGAGAAAAGCACGTCGGAAAGTAACAGCGCGAACACCCTGTATATTTTTACTAATACATGACGTTAACTTTAGCGAGGAAACGTATAATAATTTAAATCATATAATACATTTTGTACGAACATAATAGGTGTCCTAATTGTCATTACGCGAAAACCATTGCAATTTAAAGAAAATCTATTTAGCTCGCCGAATTGCATATAAAAAATAATGAAACTTTGTCCCCTCCTATTTTTTTTCACAAATCCACTTACCACTTACGTTAGAAAGTAGTAGCGCGAACACCTTGTATATTTTTACGGACACGTGATTCTAATTTTAACGAAGAAATGTACTTTAAATCATATTATACTTTCTATACGAACGTAATAGGTGTTCTAATACTTATGAACGACAATGTATAGCTAGACAACGGGTATGGCACTTTGTTTCGCGATATTTAAAGTGTTCCAAAGATGGTGACCCGCGATACAGTTGAGTCGGCTTGCTAAGTGTATGTAGAACAGGGAAATGGAAGGTCCAAAGGGATAAGGAGATGATTTCTGTCCTTAAGAGGGTCCTCCGGGTCTCCCGGGATGCTCCACTCTGTCTACGCCGGAAGGCCAAGAGAAACACTGTAATGCTTGTCCATCTGTCAATCCGCCCTTCCTGCGTGCGTGCTTTCGATCCTTTTTACTCTTCTTCGAAAAAGGAGACAGAGAAAGAAAACTCTTTCCTCCTTGGAAAAGCTAAGCCAAACCAACCGTGAGTTTTCTTTTAATTCTGAGATTGCGTCGCGACATTCGTTTCGAACGGATGAATGCCATCGTGATTCACAGCATTTCTCGTCCTCCTTTCAAGAAGAAGAAGAATCGATAGGCTTTCTCGCCAGGACGCGATTCCTGTAATTCAATCGTAACAATGGGAATACAGGAATTCAATTCTCTCAGTAGAATCACCATTTTAAACGTCTTTTTTTGTACGTTTAATGATGTTACGCGAAGCTCACTGCTTCTTTGAGCAGGTAAAAGTTCGAAACAAGAAAAGCTCTCGTTCTCAAGGCTAACTCTTTCGCTACGAGAGATAGGAGGCTCTTTCGTATCTCTCGCGCAACACCCATCTCTCCCCCTAGTTTAATATTTAATCTGCCATTCAGTTTCAAGGGGCTCCTTCGGAACTCGTTATATCACGTTAGTCACCGTCTACGATTGCATTTAATTAAACTTTTTTAAGCCCCCAGTTCCGCCGCCATTCCCGTGTCGCGGCGCGTTTTACCGCGGGTAATAAAATTAAGATACAAGCCGAAGCTCGAGCGCGGAAAAATCGAATTACCCGCTACGCAACCCGCCTCGCCGAGCATTACCTTTTCCTTTTCTTTCCTTTCGTTTCATTTTTTACAACGTACACATATGTGGCAATTCGTAGCGACGCAGGACGAAGGGAGAAAAAGAGGGGACTAAAATCTTACTGACCGCGGACCTTTTCTCCGTTACAGAGATTCACGGCGACGGATTTCAGTGATACGCGTCTAAGGGAAGGCTCGGGGCGCAACAGCTCGTTTCCTACGTGCACGAATACTGGAGGAATCTTCTCGTGGTAGGAACACCGACAATAATGCAGGAAAAAATCGAAGAAATGAGACTCGAGCAAACGCGTCTCAAGATCTCGTGATCCCAACAGCAACGTTCAGGATTGAAGAGCACTCGGAGATGGAGACGAACGGCGACGAGTTGTCTCTGGTCAGGTCCATCGTGAGGAACCTGTCATTGGACGAAACTCAGCGTCCAGCCGATCTGTTCTCTGTCAACGCTACAAAGGACACTGTGATCATCCACGAGGAGGCCATTTTGAACGATGTTTTCTCAAGAAGCGAGAAAGACTCGTCGTCGACCAGCGGCGTTGAACTGGGCTGGTACAATGATTCAACGACGATAGGATCGACGTACGGTCTGTCCTCGTCAACATTCTCCTCGATATCCTCGTCGTCGCCCAGTTCTGACAATTACACCGGCATATCGGACCTGTTCGTCTTCGAAGACCTGAACGATTACATCAATCGACTGAACTATAGCGCTTTCGTGAACCTGACGGCCTACTACGACGGAGGGGCTAATTTTAACCTGAACGGAACCGTGAACTGCACGTCCTCGATAGTTGCCGGCACCGGTGCTGGGGTCGTGAGGGATGCCGGCGAGTGCGGACCTACGACAGACGAGAAGACCAACGCCAACAGCTGGTGGGCTTTAATCCTCGTGATCGTACCCTGTTTAACCCTTTTCGGCAACGTATTGGTGATCTTGGCGGTGGTTCGAGAAAGAGCTCTGCAAACCGTCACGAACTACTTCATCGTAAGCCTGGCTGTCGCAGATCTCCTAGTAGCTGTGCTCGTCATGCCGTTTGCCGTCTACGTTCTGGTGAGCATTTTTCCCCATTTTTTTTTCTCTTCTTTTCTTCTCTTCGCTGCCGTCATCAATTTCCTCCGGTTTATAATCTGGCAATGTGTCACGCTTTTAACGCAATTTCCTTTCATCTTATATTCATTCCCCGGGCGTTTTTACAATCTCCAGGGATTCCGTGATATAGAAGCGTACTTAATCCATTTATCGCTTAACCGCGGAATTACGGAACCTCGTTATGCAACACGTTCCGCCGTTAATTACGCGCCCTTTGTCCCGATAAAAAGTATAGCCGTGTCGACTATTATCACGACGCGATTAATGAAAACTATTATGGTTTGAATTAGAAACTTCTTTCTGAATTCGTAAGTGAGCTTACGCTGGTATTACCTTCGGACTTTCGGGTTCTGTTTTATGGGGGAAAAAGGTGGAGATGCGGTGTTCCGTCGTCGTTCATTTCAGAGGTTGCGTTTATGGGATAGATACGGCGCGGCGGCAGAGGTAGCTAGAAATTGTTCCTGAGACTATAATTATCGTACAAAACGACGGTTTTGTTCGGGTCTCGGCGTTCCACGTAGCTCGTAGGCGAGCGCGAATACGAATGAAAACAGGATTACTTAATTAAAGCAATTTGAGTAATTCTTCGAGTGACGGTGCCGAATCCTGTGATAACGGATGACCTACTTCCTCGTTCGAAATGCTTCTGGGTTATAGTGCGGATATCAAACGGTGCACCCCCATACCACCGGGACCATTCTTCTACGCGTGCAGTATTTATTTAATAGCGATTTTATTAATGTTTCAGAATAAATTTCAGTCTCTGGTGCAGCGCGAAATAAATTTCCGTCCGGATTTATCTCGTTTCATTTTACAGACCGATGTCCACGTTTACGATCTCGTTTGCCCTTATTAAGTTCTTGGTATCCCGGTACGTCGTTTAATAGTAATCATCAAAGTTCGCAACGGAATACCTTTCTTCTCTCACTTTGATACACATCGCGGCGAATTTACGTTGCATCGGTTCCACTAGCAATTTTCCCTATTTACCCTCAACTCGATGAAATATAAACATTTACCGAAACGTTTTCCACGAAGAAAGACAATAATTCCATAAAACTCGTCGTGGGCATATGGTGCAGGAGATGGGAGGAGAAAGTGTCGAATTGAAGGGTCGTAAAAATATCGTAAAAGTCGAATTTTGGGCCACAGAGTCATTCGTATTCCGTTTCCCTCGCCTATATTTCCCGAAACTTTTTATCTGAACCACTCGAAGCAGTTACTCGAATGAAAATTTCGGTGACGTTTCGATTTATTCACAGCATCGTTTTAGTTCCGAACTATACGGCCCGGTATCCAGTGAAACTTTTTTCCCTCGATAAATGGACCAAATTCGCGCTTTCTCTCTCTCTCTCTCTTCGTGTTAACGGCGATCAAATAAATGGTAATTTGTACAAGCAAATCATGGTTGTTCCGCTATAATCTCTGGCCATTCGTCCATGAATTATTACACGATTCGATGTTTTACGTGTGTCCGCTGTTAAATGCCGGTTCAATAGCTCCGATAAAGGGTTCTCCGTGCGAATTAACAAGCCGCACAGTTTCAGCTCGAAATGATTTTACACTTCGATATACCTAACGTACCTCGAACAGTCGCGAACTTTTCGAAAGAATTTTTTCTTCTTCTGCGAAAGAAAAAAGCATGTGTCGATTGTCACGCGACGTCATATATTCTTCGAGCGATCATGTGACGGCAATGCTATTTCGCGTGTCACGAGTTTGCACAGCGCGAGTTACTGCAGAGCACCATTTTGTAAGCAAAACGCGTATGCAGGTCGAAATAGTAATCGTACACGTGCCGTTTCCCTTCGTTTACGCTAATTAACTTTCGCCGGGGTTACACTGTAAGTTACATAGGGGAACATAATTTATTCCACGAGACCGACATGAAACCTAATGACCGTCAAAGATGTACACCACTTGGAATATACATGAGAAACATCGAAATTCATCGGTTAAAGGGTGGGAGGGGAGTGGAAGTAAAAGTTGTCGTTCGCAGGAAATTAGAGAATCTCGAAGCTAATTACCAAATGAAATTATTCACGGTAGATTGTAAGATATGCAGAGTCGATCGACTTCACGAATCGGAAACGTAAAGTTTCATTACCAAATTAGACCTCAGGGAATTCCCAATAAACCGATAAGGTGTTCGGTCCATGTAAACTAAATACCTGGCTGGTTTAAACCGATTTCCATTTCCTATGAAATAACCTTTCTAATACATAATTATAGTGTTTCGCATAACTTGCCCAGAAATATTATTTACGTACAGGGTGGACCAAAACTAAGGTGCTCTTTTGCAGACAGTTACGATGAATAGAGAAGAGCGTTGTATGATTTGTATTAATATAGCCCGTGTGTGCTGTCGCACTGAGCCGACTGATTAAAAAATGGACAAATGCGTGTTGCCTTTCTAACTTTGTGTAACTTTTATTGTATGTAAAAACTAAGTGACTAGTTTGACTGATAGATGTTGTTGCTCTGATGGTTGTAATGATTCTGACTTTTCGAGAGCTCGTCTTCGCCCTCGAGAGCGGTGGTTCTTGAAAAATACGCTGATTGGTGAATATTTTCTAGGGTGTATTAAAACTTCGTTGTTGGGTTAGATGTTTTTTATTTTGATTAGATGTTTGTCCCTTGGTTAGATGTTGTTGTATGATTTTGTATTAATGTAGCCCGTGTGTGCGTCGCACTGAGCCGACTGATTAAAAAATGGACAAATGCGTGTTGCCTTTCTAACTTTGTGTAACTTTTATTGTATGTAAAAACTAAGTGACTAGTTTGACTGATAGATGTTGTTGCTCTGATGGTTGTAATGATTCTGACTTCTCGAGAGCTCGTCTTCGCCCTCGAGAGTGGTGGTTCTTGAAAAATACGCTGATTGATGAATATTTTCTAGTATTCATCGCCAATCAACGTGCCTAATTTTCTCGCCAACTCCTTCCAGTGCGCCCTTAGCGCGCTTTACCCTGGTGGAGTGGGAGAAGATCCCAAGGGGTAACCAAATGTTTATAATAATTCGGGAAATTCCTCCGGGTGACTCATCGGCCAGCGGACCGTTACAGACAATTGTACCCTTCGGAAACCCGAGGTTTATGGCATGTTCTTAAGCTATTGAGCGCGAAAGGCACAAGCGGCAAAAAACTCTAATTAAGTGATTCTACCGGCCTTCGCTAGGATGGACGTTAAAGCATAAAATAGTAAAGTAAATCCTAATCTCAAAAACAGCCTGTAGGTGCGATCGTGCCATAAACCTTTGCTGAATGAAACCTAACAAGCGTCTAGCAATAGTTATCTGGCGAATTAACTTTTTTAACTAACAGAACGTTCACATTCTCTTCTGACGTATGTACGTGGTCGTCCGCTTGTTATTTCATCGTGTACAGGACTCGTTCCTTTGAAGGAGGGTGTTAAAAAAAGGCCAATTTTGGCATACACCCGGAACGAAAAATTTTTTTACAGCATGATTCTACGCATGCTAAGGAACGAAAAAGGTAATTGTCATTTTTCCCGGAAACGATGGGAAAGTTACGAAAAATGCGGTTCAAGGTAAGAGTATGACCATACTTAGGTATAATTTATATTCCGTCTCGTTTTCTTCGGATGATGGTCTGTTCGTAAATTAACCACTTAAAAACTCATATTGAGTATTATTTACAAAGATTGTTGTACATTAGTGTTTAATAAAAACCAAAAATAATTAATGAAAAATTAATCGAAACAAGGAATTCTTTGATGACACAATGCTTATATTCTAAGCAAACAGAAACCAATAATTATTTATTCTCGAAGTGATAAAAGTCATAATAAACTACCGTGCATGTAATAAAATAATCGTCATGATAGGGATACGGTAAAAAAGTAAGACTCCAACAGAATTTGCATTTCTTAACTGTGTATCCGGTGATTTCATTTCTCCACTAATTTTCTTTCCTGACTTTTTTTTTCGTTCCTTAGGATGCGCAGAATCATGCTGTAAAAAAATTTTTCCTTCCAGCCGTATGCCAAAATTGGCCTTTTTTTAACATCCTCCTTTCTTAAACCACTTTACGTATCGTCTTATCTACCGGTCCTGCTTTCTTCAATTTCCTTTCGAATTTATTCACATTCATTCTGATTTCATTGCACCCCTTTCTTTGGATTCGCCAGATAACTATTGCCACATACGTTCCTCTGTACTCATCCTAACCCCTTGACATACAAATAAAATTGAACTCGACGCGTCCAAAAAATGCTATTTATTTTGCAGCTCAAATTATCAGCTATGTAAGCTTCACGTTGATGTTTGTATATTTACATATTTTCATTGCTAAATATCTTAAGATAATGTTTTTAAACAATATTAAAGAATAATAATTAAGTAAGAAATAGTAACTAATAAATTGGCATCATTTTGCTAGTTGAAGGTATATGTTCAAGAAAATGTGCACAATTCTTCGCTTGTAACCGAGTTGGGCACACACTTTGCGAAGGTCTGCCGCGTGTTAGATAATCAAGCAGAGACAAATGACGTAGCATGCCTTCTGTAATACCGAATCGGAAATTTACGATTGGTTCCTTTGTCGAACTGGGTAATTTGATATATAGAATATAAGCATTATAAACAGCCATATCAAACATACCATAAAATATTGGGAATAAACGTGACCTAGTAACTGTCGCGTCTTGGAGACGTGAACGTCGACAATGGAACACGAAACATTCGACATCTCGTAGACGTGAAAGTATGTCAAGTGATTAAGATTCTTCAAAGAATTTTCATTAAAATAGTACCTAACTTTTGGTCCACCCTGTATTAAACGATTCTCTCTCGGTAAACATCTCCACATTTTAATCTGGTCCTTTCTTTCACGACGTGTTTCCACGTTGAACTGACCAATACTCCGGCGGGTAAGTAGAGGTTCGAGCATCTATCGAGATGATAAAGCCGAGACGTCCCGGGCTGGATATTAACGCGATGC